GTACCCGATCCAGGAACATCTAACATGTGAACATTCGAATGTAATATATTTAATTGCATACAAGAAATGCCCGAAACAATATGTAGGAGAAACTGAGAATAATTTACGAACTCGTTTTAATGCTCATAGGTCGGATATCAAATTAAAGAAAGACAAGCCTGTTTCTAATCATTTCAACCTCGACCATTCAATAGACGATCTCACCCTAATCCCAATTGAGCGCATAGAAATTGACTTGCCCGAAGATGAAACTACCAACTTCCGTCAATCTAGGGAAGCCCATTGGATTGAGACAATTGGTAGACCTATAGGACTAAATATTCACTATAATGTAAGCATAGCACCCTTTGTTGTCCCGTTCAATACAACCAGCAATCGAGCAAGCAAGATAGTTCATGCCCACTTTAAGAGCCTTCAAGAGAAATTCCCCGATGTTTATAAGCAGAAAATTATAGTTGCATATTCAAAAAATAAGAACTTAAATGATAATATTGTTCATAGTAAACTAAAAACAATCAGTACATTACAGATACTATACTTCTCAGAACCCGGAACAGAAAAAACCCAGCATCAGGATCCTTGATTCCAATTTCTAAATAAAGTATCTGTTCCACCCTAGGCCTGTACATTTGGGAGAATCAAACCCTCCCTTCCCCGAAATCTAAATCATTCGCAAACGATGTTTATTTTACATTATTTGTATCGGATATTTTTCTCTAACCCTTTGCCATCTTGTATTAAATGTCTTACTTCATTGTTAGTTTACATATCCTTCACGGTAGAATCAAAAATCGTAAATTTTTCTCCGATATCATCCACTCTAGTGGTCATTGCTGAGTGCAGTTTTGGACACCGAACCGTAAGGGTGTGCTTTATTGATCCAAAAATCATATGTGTTTGAAGAAAAGGGAAATTAAGTTCGAACTAAATCCCAATTATTATCTATTAACTAAAACAGGCAACGAGACCTCAAGCAATGGCTTTTGAGCCTCTTGATACTCTTAGCCTGTTAGTTTTCAACCGAGGTGCTTTAAATCCTACAATTTGTGAACAAGAAAATAAAACTCTAGGTCATAAATAAAAATTACAGTATTTTTTTGTACGAGTCCTCTCCCTTGAAGTCGAAATCGACACAAATAGAAAAGAAAAAAAAACACAAACAAGGACAGAAAATCACAAATAAGACTGGCACGTTGACTGTTTATTTAGGCGGAAGGTTTTCGTCTTGTATTTTTCTTTCTTCAGTTTTCCTCGCTGCAATTATATGTCCGACATAAATATAATTAGGTAGACGGTTTTGGTAGTCTTTTTAGTTTCTTTCCTCAATTTTCCTCCATGCAATTTTAAGCCCGACATAACTATTTATGGCTCTAAGAAAACCTGCCCATTTTATTTGACACTCGTCTCGAATCTGAAGAGACATTTAACGTATTTCAACCTTATGTGAGTTCTTTCTTAGACGGGGCGCTGGTCCAGAGGCTGTCTTAAGCGACAAACGGGGAGGCATCGCCGAGTAAATAATCCTGTCCTCAGAAGTTCTCTTCTTTAAGCAGTTGTTGTCGATAACTACCCCGTTCAACGACGTACGCCTTCTGGAGGTTGGCGTAACAGAATGACGTTTCCCAGTCAGTTCGGCCATCGGTCACTGTCTTCTCAAACAGCAAGCGAATGGAAAATTGGTTGGTTTTCCGTCTCGGAAACAAGTGTATTGTTCCTCAGGTGATCACCCTGGCAAACGGGACAAGTCTTGAGAAAATCGGCGGAAGATTGACTGTCATTATAGTCGAAAAGAATCTCATCGCCTAGAAGAATTGCCTTGATGGCCGTGAAGACAATAATGGGTTGACCAAGATTGATGGGATTGCCTTTGACGTTGGGGCAGCAGGTGCTGTGGTTGATCAGACGGCCCATCTGTCCGTCGTCTTGGGAGGCATCTCTGTAGTGCCATTTGCCATCGAAACGGAACTTGAACATGTAGCCCATACCATCGTGAGAGCATTCGTACTTTTCGTCGCCTTCTTGCCGGAGAAATACTGGCCACCGTAGTCGATGACCTCCTGACGCCTTTGCCAGGATTGTGGAGAGGGCCTTTTTGGTACAAATAGTGCCAAGTCTGGGATCTGACGGCGTTTCGTTGTCGAACTGGGTCATTGGTGAGCTGGAGGATCGGGACGGATGGTTCGAATTCGGATAAAAGGTACTTATATAACTGGCTATGGTCTGGATCTTAGAGGGTAGTCCCGTCAGCTCTGGTTACTGCTTTGGCAAGAATTGAGCAACTTGACACTTCGTGGAGGTCTTGGAATGCCTGATGCACTTCAACGAAATACTCAGCGTACCTGTGCAGTTTTAGGTCCCTCGGATAGGAGGTAACCTTCTTGATGACGTGTCTGCCTTCCTCAAGTAACATGCCCTGATGGTCGAATCCGCTTAGGGGCCGAAACTCTGATAAATTGACGAATTTGCTGAACACGACGTGTTAGGTGGCGATCTCCTTGCCGTGGAACACTGGGAACATATCCAGGGCTAACTGTTTCAAGTGTGCCCAGCAGTCCTCTTCGGTCATGTTATCCGAGACCCTAGAGGAAAGACTACTGCATGGAGGAGGGGCACGTATAATAGAGACAGAAGCCTCTGTTCCAGAAAAAGGAGCGGCGGAAGCGCCAGAAGTGGAAAGAGCGGCGGAAGCGCCAGGAGTAAAAGGAGGAGCAGCGAAAGCGCCAGAAGTGGAAGGAATGCCAGAACTATTCTGGGGGATTTGAAACACCATGGACATTCAAGGCTTTGAGAAGGGCGTGGACTGTATCCTTGGTAAAAAAATCTGTACTCGTGGACGTCTGGGCTGACATCGGGGTCAGCCTCACGAGTGTCGTATTTGGCTAAGATGTCAGCCAATTCTTCTTTGATGCGGGGATTGGTAGTGAAGGCCGTCAGGAATGCCATATAGTCCTGAGTAGGAGTGTTTTGCTGGTGCGCCAAACGTTGCTGGTCAACGCACGACTCCTCTTTGCTGGACACGGTCTTCATTTGGTTGCAAGACGTCCCTGGCGTGTGCGTACAACGTTGGGTCAGTGGTGGCGAAATCGCAGTCGTATTGCAAAAACTTTCGAAAGCAGAGAACTCGTTCTTCATGACTGAAGATTGTAAGCCATATCCATTTCCGGAACCAAGTCATTGGCTAGTCGAGTGTAGAACTTCCTCATCAAGGGCACGTGTAGAACAGCTCTCACGTCAGACTTCGGTCTGCACATAATACAAAAGTTTTGCAATCTTGCCAACATTGATGTTGGTGCCCTTGCCGCTTTGAATAGCCTGGTTGCGTTTCGGATACGAAAATAATTTGCTCAACCATGGGTCGACCGTTTCATCAGTCTCGGACCAAGCAAACCCTTTTTTAGGGCGGTGGCAGCACGGAGTTTCTTAATATCACCAACCATTCTCGTCCTCTATAGGTCAGGGCCTTCAGTTTGGTCTTGTCGGCGGGACTCTTAGCCTTGGTCTGGTCCCTAATATCAGTGTCACTGGCATTAGAGGAGGGACCAGAAGAATCAGACTTGTCGTCAGAAGAAGGCTTGGGAGGAAGTGAAGAAGGATCCCGACGGGTAGAGGGGTGAGACTCTACGACAGAATCCGTCGTGGTGACAGCATCAGAGGGGGCAACTGCAGCCCGACTGGTAGAGAGAAGAGACTCTACATCAGTCGGGGAAACTTCAGGCATTGCTAGTTGGGGAGGTCGGGGCACTTCACTGGTGGGAACTGTCGCCCCCGATCGGCTTGGCCAGGCTTGGTCCTTGACGAGCGAGTGGCCATACATGTGTAGAATTTTTTCTACGTCCTCGCCAGTGTACAAAGCATCCTAGCCAAAGGATGGGGGGTCATGTTTCAGAAGACAAAAAAACACACGGATGATGCCATTATGTTCATCCGTTTCCACTCGGTTCAATACCTTGCCCTCTGCCAAGTCTTTGTTATGACCACCATCAAAGTGCTTTGTCAGTTCGGGAAAGAAAGCTGGCTTGGGACACAATTTGCACTGTTTGGTCCTAGGGTTCTTTTTTGTAACACTCAGATATAGTAGACTCTCAACCCAGAAGTGGTTTTGCCAGTCATTTTGATGCCTAGTTTCGGAAAGTTTGCTAAAATAGGTTTGTAGGATGGATGTGTGTTCAGTGTCATTACAGGATAGCTTCTGTCTCTGTTGTATTCTCGGAGGGTGGGACCCCCCCCCCCCCCCCCAGGAGAATAGCAATGGTACCCATGGATACCTGGTTCCGCGGACAGCCCGTGCTATCTGCTGGAGGTCAAATACCCCAACAAATAACTTAGAGGGTAGATTCATTTTGGGATCTGCGCTCGATCTCATTTTGATGCCTAGTTTCGGAAAGTTTGCTAAAATAGGTTTGTAGGATGGATGTGTGTTCAGTGTCATTACAGGATAGCTTCTGTCTCTGTTGTATTCTCTGAGTGTTACCATGTTCTAGTTCTGTAAGGTATAAATCTTTAAGAAAAACAGTAATTAAATATACCCTATTAGGATATATTGTATATTAAAAAGGTATCTGCAAATTTAATATGTATTATCACAGGTATGTATATAGAAGAAATTTATAAATAGATATATTATATGTATATGTAAATAATGTTAAAAATTAATGTTATAAATATATTACAAAATTACATTATTAGATGAAGTTAAAATATTGGATGAGATGAGATATGGTGAGATGTCATGACAGCTGCTCAAAATACCAGATCTAGCTTGGAACGAGTGAAATGACGCCTAAAGAAATCCCAGTTAGCCTTCCCTAGTCTCCATTTGCCATGACACATGACTTCCTCCTTCACAACATTGCGTGACAGCGTGATTTCAGTGACAACATGGTCACTTCCAAGGGTCTCACTGGTTGCTTCCCACGTACAGTCTTTAGCTAACCGGCTGCTTACTAATGTGAGATCGAGATGCGAACCAAGAGGAGCAACATAAGTAATGCTACCATCATTTATGCTAACCAGGTCATTGGCCTCAATGAACTCAGCAACTTGTCTACCATTAGTGTCAGTTGTTGGCGAGCCTCACAATACGTGTTTGGCGTTGAAATCACCAAGCACAATATTGTTGGTCCCGGGCAACTGATCGTAAACATACTGATATTCATTGAATCGTTGAGGTTTGCCTTTGACTTCGGGTCGATAAATATTAACGATAGAAAAAACTTTGACTTGTCGGTAAAGGATACCGTCTGTGCCTCCAGAGGAGAGATGGTTTTCAGAGGAACCTCACCATGGGATATACCATTTTTGATGTAGATGGCCAGACCCCCATCACTTTGATGGTTGAGAGCATTAGGTCTGTTTAATCTGATCAAAGTATAACCATTGATGATAGGGTCTTTATTCCTTGAACCGAGCTTGGACTCTTGGAGAAAAACGGCATCATACTGCTTCCTTTGTAGTAGCTGTACCAGTTGGGTCTTTCGTTCAGGTACGTTCAGACCATTGATGTTCAGCTGTATAAACCTGAAATTGAATGTAAAATAATTAGTGGCTTAATGGATCAGTATGGTTTTAGCATGGGGTTTGGGGTGCCGTAAAAACCTCTACGTCCATTTCCGTTACTGAGCCAGTGGGCAGTGGTCTAGCTAGCGAAGTGCTTCTAGGGCGCTCAGTCGCTTGTCTGGAGCCTGTACTTCTGTAGATGCTCCTCGACTGACGAGGTTGGCCACTCGTGGATATCGCCTTTTCTTGGCGTTTCCACTGATTGACCCACTACGTGGGTCTTCGGAACATCCGTGCTGGATATCTTCCTCTTTGGTTTGGTATCTTTGGTTGGTGGTTGTTGATTTGTGACGTGGTCGGCACATACTTTGGATACTGCGTCCATGACGTCTTTGGGGTTGATTTCACCAGCCTTGGTTCTGGAACTGATTGCTACTGCAACCAACCTGCAACAGAAATAAAAAAATTTAGACACATCCTTGAACTCCGGCGTGAATCCTTTCGGAGTTTGAGCCGGGGCAGGTTTGGGGCATTCGACCACGGGCTTGGGGGCAGCGGGCACCGTGTTGGCCGAGACGTGATGGCGAGCTTCTTGTGAGGATACCTTGTAGGTGTGCTGGATCCTTATTTCCCCTCTTCTTGATAGGAACGGAGGACACAGTGCGGAGTTGCTGAAGTGGTTATCACTCCGACAATTCACGCACCGTACCTTCTTGGACTTACACAGCTTGGTGCTGTGCCCCTCTCCACACTTTTCGCAGCATACTTTGCTGCGACAGAACTTCTCCAAATGACCCAACTTCTGGCATCTTCGTACCTTAGGGATGTAATGGTGGAGCTGGTACCTGGAATATAGAAGGGAAGAGGACAATTAGGTACTTTCCCGCTTGCGAAGGTTAGTTGGACAGTCCTAACGGACTTGCCCTCCCGAGGTTTGTAGAGGTATAAACCCTCTACAGCGTGATTGTGGATCCTCCAGCAATTCACCCTCTGAGTACTCGGAGGGGACGCCATAAATGACGACCCGTTCCGTCTTGTTGAAGGTGGACATGGCCGAGTCCACCTTCATCCCACACAGTGCGGTTTGATTGGCAGCTTAAAACGCATCTCAAAATTCAACCTCACGTTGCCGTTAGCCAGGACTTTGACCTCCGGAAGAGAGCTATACTTCCACTCTCTTCGTGCTTCCGAAAGTTTTGCCCCCGCTTGGCTTCACTATCACGATATTAGAGAATTCCGGCCTTGCTACCCTGGGTTGCATGGTACTAGCTGGCCGACTCGCAATATCGGCATAGCTAACCTTGGTGGCTTGTTGGGGAGAGGCCATTTTTACTGAAAAGAAGGTTTGATTAGTACAAATACAAAATACAATAAGACAGATAAGAGATAGCTATCAAGAATGCTTTGCAGACTGTGCAAAAATTGATAGTATGAAAATGAAAAGAGAACAACGAAACAAAACGAAACCTAGTGAAAGCTTTGTAGGACAGCTTGAATTTCTTCCGCCAAAGAAATTCTCGGCCGCCCAAAGAAAAGATAAAAGAAAAGAATAAAAAGGAACGAACTCACAGTAATTAGTGGCAGGTGTCAAAAGTTAATTGAGTAATACTTAATTGATACTTGACAGTAATCCGCTAATCCAATTTCACCAATCCAGACTAGAGAGAGAGCTAATTAGTTGTTCACAGTACGAGTGTCTGTTTTTTATGTGAAAACTATAAGCGCGGACTTGATAGTGAGCACGAAGCTTTCGATCCTACTTTCAAGTCAAATTCTATCACAGTTTTATAGTAGAAATATATTATGAAAAAGGTGGATATATTTATACAATATAATTAGGTATAAATAAATTAGGATTATGAATCTAATAAAAATTGAAAATGTTGTAAAAGTCAATAAATTATATTATTATCTGTGATATTGGACATATTTTCTCAGTATTGTGTGGCAGGTAGCATATATGATGCGCCGGCCCCTTTGATAAAAAAAAGTCGGTGCTCGCCCCATCTCTTCAAACTACTTTGACAAGGGATAGAGCGAACACCAAGTCAATGTATGAGGCCGGTACATCATATATTGTTAGGGCCAATATCGAAGGCAAGACCATTCACTTAGAGGATGGACTAATACTGACCGACGGACGATCAAGATACTATATACTAATGGGTACACGGGGGTTATAGTTTGAGCAGCCTATAGAGCAGTCCGTCAATCATTACTTCTATTGGGCCCGGGCGGGTCCTATTGGTCCAGATAATATTGAAGTAGTGATAGAAGGAAGTATATAAACTGGGATCGACATTTTTCAGAAAGATGGAAAATTCTGTGATTGTGACCCCGTGACTGATGGGATTTGTCACGAAGCGACAGAAGCTATCACATTGAACAAACAGATGTTTGAGGGATTCGACTTCCACTCCACAGAATTTGCATTTCAGATCAAAATCTGTGGAGCTCAAAAAGAATTTTTGTAGGCAGGGCCGAATGCACAACGAGAAACAGAAAGTCTTTTTCCTGAAGATTTAGTTTTGAATTTTGAATATTGCCAAAGATAGACTTGAAGTTGATATGTCTGTTTTCTCGTTGTATTTTGGGTTCAATTTTAAGGTTCTGAATGAGTGCCAAATAGATGTCCTTTGATGTGGTCTTTGAGGTAATTTTGAAGCCGAATTTCCGAAAGTTCGTCAAGAGAGATTTATAGGACGGGTGTTTGTTCAAAGTCATTGTTGGATAGCTTCTGTCGCGGTTATATTCTCTGAGGGTGGGGCCTTTCCGTTACTCAAATGACTTGGATTCGTATATAAGGCCTTTCTCTCCAGCTATTCGACATCATTTTGATTAGCCAATGGTACTACCACGAGGTAATACTTTCTTCTACTCTTTACACCTGTTGCTAATTGCATAATTGGCCCCGCCAGACCAGTCACTGGATTATCATTAGCAATACTCTCTCAGCCGATATCCTGTCTCCCTGTCTCTGTGAACGGATTATCTCCAATATCCAAAGTATCTGTGTAGTGCCATACGCCTGTCATAGGGCAACTGTCTTTATATATCCCTGTCTTCACTAAGCAAATCATTCACTTCACTGTGTGTGAGTTACTTTTACTGGCAATGATACTTTAAATACAGACATCTACAAACTATTTGAAATCCAAAACGGAACAAAAAAACAGATAACAGAATTAGAACAAGAAACAGGCAATATCACCGCCGAAAAAGATCAAATATTAGAAACAGAAAATTACTATACCTCACTCTATACCTCCCAAAACATCTCTATCAATTCTTACCTAGATTCTACTCTACTTTCCACTGAAGAACAGCAACTTTCTCTCTCTTCTCTTATTACTGAGGAGGAGGTCTTTGCTGCTCTGAAGTCACTTGATAACAACAAATCTCCGAGAGCATGTATGTGTGTGAGAACAAATGCAGTGCTGTGTGGGGTACATGCTGTGTCTGTGTGTTAGTGTGTGGATGTAATATCAGTGTGGAAGGCGGATGATGAGCACAGTGTGTAAGTAGCATTCGAATGTGTGTGTGGGTGAATGAGATAGTGTGACTGTCGAGTCAGTGAGAGAAAGAGTTCTTATACATACGTTTTATAGTTTTAAACTTAAAATCAAAATGTATATTTAAACTGTAAATAATTAATGTAAATATGTTAAAGAAATCTGTAAATGCTATAATATATAAATAATTATACTGCACAATGATGATAAAAAACAGTACAAAGGTCGTCTACTATAGTCAAATATTTTCTTTACAAAACTCACCCTTTTTAGGTTCTAACATACTAATACTAGCAGGTAACAATCCTATGTCTTAGAGTTGGGATCTCAGGGCCTCTAACCCCCCTGGCATCCTTCCAGCTACTACATAGGACCACTAACAACAATAGCCCGTAACATCGAAGTGGTGAAGTCGAGTAACCCTGGAAAATAATAAACCCTTCTCTGGAGAAATGTACTGTGTGTCTTGCTATCACTTGTATATATGAGATCGCTTTAAGCAGACACAATATCTGAGTGCTTTAAGAAAGGAAAAAAAAATGAAAGCTTCATTTATCGGTTCCTCATTCATAACCCGTCTTCACCACTATTTGAAGAACAGGCAGGAATATTTGCACCGAAATTACACCACGCAATTCCTGGGGAAAGGCGGTGCAGGCTACAAGCAGACGGAGGCTCAGGTACGCTATTCCTATCAGAGGAACGATTTCTTTACACATGCAAAATGAGCTTTTCCCTGGGTGTCAGCAGGCATTTCAACGCATTATTAACGATCACCTTTTCCGCTTGCAATGCAATGTGCCATGCCTTGATCGAAACATGTCGATAGTTTTATTAATGATTGATTTTAAATGTTTTTCAGGTCCCTTTGATAGACCGTCACACAGACGTGGTTTTTATCTATGTCGGGGGCAACAAGGTATTGCCCGGACTACCTCGGGGGTTCCATGCCCGTTCCATGCATAGGCTGATTAATAAGATCACGCTTCGAATTGGGCCCTCGAAGCCTATCTACATCATTAATTTGTATGGACAGAACCGCCCGCGCCATTGGGAAAGTGCCCGAAGATACATACGTGCTGTGCGCGATGTAAATAAAAGGTTCGAACAAATGGCGAAAGGATATTTACTACGTTAACACATTTGGAGAGCGTCGACACACCCACCCTGGCATATCGTGTGTGCTGTGCTCCGACGGAGTTCACCTGAACGAACTAGGCCAGGGTTCTTTACTCTGGAAGCTGTCCAGAGTATTGAAGTGAATGTTATTGTTAATGTTATTGTTAAATAAAATTGTATTATTCCTAACGGTGTCTTGCATCAGTGCAATCAAATCCCCGTCCCTGAATTGTCGTTGGTTTGAAACTGACACGTCCACCCACAGCCAAATTCTCATTGGCTTGCATAGTATAGAAGGCAGGCTAAGGTAATATCCTGCAAAAACAAGTCGGATGATTGGTGTATTGAAGACTTGAAGGTGGGCCTAATGCGTAATGCCTCGAGAGACCCGTGTCAGATCAGTGACAGATAATCTGATAAACATATTATGTCCAATGATTGGTGTAGAGGACTAAAGAAAGCTGGAGAATTGCATACTAATCCGACCCGTGCCGCCAATCTCCTTGCATAAACACGATCAATCGATCAATCATTGTTCTTTCATACTTTCAATGATCGCCTTTAATTGAGGCTGACTAAGGTAATCTCTTGCATAAACACAATCAATCGATCAATCATCGTTCTTTTGTACTTTAATTGAACGTTGCTTGTCTCTCTCTCTCTATACCCTATAAGGCAGACAGTAGATAAAAAATGGGTAAATGATAACGCACAAACTCAGCCGCATATTACATTGCATTTGCATACGTCCCTTACTTACGAATGGCATCACTTGCACGGTCATATTGGCCTTTGGAATCTTAATTCATTGATAATTGAACAGGCATGGGCAAACAGAAAGGCGTCAGAAAGTCGAAACGGCACTTGGTGCCAGCCCCGGTGTGTTGGCCATAAGGTCAGGTCGATCCAAGTCGCATTGGGCCTATGCAAGTGTAGGCAATTAGCCTGGAATGGGCCTAGTCCTATTTCCCCATAGACTCTCCATGTTACCAAATGAACCAGACTTGGACACGCAGGGGCAGACGGGAAGTTACCGATAAGGAGTTGACGGTTCAAAAGACCACTGGAATGCAAACTGGTCAGTCCGACGTGAGAGTCACACTTCATGTGCCTTTGATGAGGCAATATTTCACCCGACTGGCCAATAACATGGATGGCTTTGACCAAGGTTATAGGTTGCAACCTTCTGCCACTTTCGAAATGTCGAGTTATTTTTTGCTAGCGGGAAAGTTCCTAATAGTTCCCTATTCCATGTACCAGCTCCACCTGTATATTAAAAAATGTGGATGCCAGGAATGTCAGAAGTTGGGTCACCTAGAAGTTGTAGGTTTGTTGAGAAAAATATGGTTAGGGAAACAGTACGAGTCGAAGATTCGGTGTTAATTGTCGCAGTGATAGCCACTCCAGCAACTCTGAAAAAGTGTCCTTTCTTCTTGTGTCGGTCAACACGGTCCCAGCTGCCCCGTATGTTGTGTATGATGATGTGATAAAATAAACCTGAATATAAATTGAAATACTATAGAATCCAAACTGATGGTTCAAAGTATTTGAATGAAATTCTAGGCCCATGGCCAGACTGGTTTGTTCGGTGGATAAAGGAATAAATCCTAAGGGGCGTATGGTGTTTATTGCAATAGTGGAATTGGTCGGTTAATGTGAAGC